CACCCCCACCCTACTCCAACCCACCACTAACCACCATCCTACCACTCACTACTAGAAAACTGGGCATTTCCGGCGGATTTCGGGCAAAAGTCAAAAAAGTCAACTTTTGTTGACTTCCGCCGGAAATCCGCCGGGAAAATTAAACCGGTTACGTTTCCGGCGGATTTCCGGCGAAATTGTTAATTAAGCGTTAATTAATCTTTAAAAATTAATTAATTAGCGAAAAAATTTTAAAAAAGAACAATTCCGGCGGATTTCCGGCGGAATATTTAAAAAAAATTAAAAAAATACTTCAAAAATAAATCCGCCGGAAATCCGCCGGAAAAGTGTTTAGAAAAATAATTTTTAAAAAATTAAAAAAACCCTTTTAATCTTTTCCGGCGGAAAAATAAATATTTTTAAAAAAAATAATATTTCCGGCGGATTTTTTATTTTTTTATTAAAAAAAGAGTAAATATTTTTCCGGCGGATTTCCGGCGGAAAAATAAATAATTTTTTAAAATAATTTAACATTTCCGGCGGATTTTTTATTTTTTTTATTAAAAAAGAGTAAACATTTTTCCAGCGGATTTCCGGCAGATTTTTATTTTTTTTATTATAAAAGAGTAAACATTTTTCCGGCGGATTTCCGGCGGAAAAATAAATATTTTTTTTAAAAAACTTTAATATTACCGGCGGATTTCCGGCGGATAATTAAATAATTTAAAAAAAGAAATTAATAATTTTCCGGCGAACCGTTGGGCTTTAATAACCGTATTGAGCTTTAATGAACCGTATTGGGCTTTCATGAACCGTATTGGGCTTTAATGGAAGTATTGGGCTTTCCGGCGAACCGTTGGGCTTTAATGAACCGTATTGGGCTTTAATGAACCGTATTGGGCTTTGATGAACCGTATTGGGCTTTGGTGGAATCGTATTGGGCTCTAATGAACCGTATTGGGCTTTCGTGAACCGTATTGGGCTTTCATGAACCGTATTGGACTTTAATGGATCGTATTGGGCTTTAATCGACCTTATTGGGTATTAATGGACCGTATTGGGCTTTAATGGAAGTATTGGGGCTTTTATGAACCGTTGGGCTTTAATGAACCGTATTGGGCTTTTATGAACCGTTGGGCTTTAATGAACCGTATTGGGAT